CCCTCTGCCCCTGGCCCCACTCCACCCCTTCCCCCATGTCCGCACCCTGCCCTTCCTCTTCTCACCCCTGCTCCGCCTCCACCCCATCCCCATTCCACCTCCTTCCCCAAGTCCCTGCCCCGCCTCCTGCCTTGAGCGGGCTATGTCCCTGCTCCTCCCTTTCCCTCCCAGAGCGCTGCCAAACAGCTGTTTGGTGGCAGGCAGAAGTGCTGGGAGGGAGCGGGAGGAGCAGGAACACGGCACGCTCAAGGGAGGAGGAAGGGAAGAGGCGGGGGGAGCTTGGCTGCCAGTGGGCCCAGAGCACCCACGCAGTCGGCGCCTATGTGCCTGTGCATGGACTGGCAAGACCTATGCCACACTCCTTGGCACCACAGACTTTGCAGACATATGAGTCAGCAGCATTATACGTAACTGATCCTGCAACTAAAACAACTACCTAGTACTTTTGTCTGTATTGCTTTTATTGTAAATAGGGGAAAACTCAAACAAAAGGATTAAAAAGAGAGAGAGAGAGAGAAAATTAGCATTATTGAAGCATAAGAAAAGTCCCTGGAGTCTCCTCCGCCATGTGACAGCTATATAATCTTTTGTCAAGTGTCTGGGTCAGGAAATAAAGTTCAGGCCCTTCTCAGCAGTCCTGCATATTGCATCTTTGTTACACGAGGGATTTGTCCTTTCATCCCTGAATGATCTTTACCTTTCACTTCTCCTTCATCCAGTAGAACCAGAATTAGCAAACAACAAAGCTTTACTTAGATTCACGGGTCATGGATTTAAGGCCACAAGTGACCACTGTGATCATTCTAGTCTGACCTCCTGCATGGCACAGGCCGTAGAACCTCACCCAGTAATTCCGGCATCAAGCCTATAACTTCTGATGGAGCTATAGCAGATGCTTTAGAAAGGGACCCAGTCTTGATTTAAAGATTAAAGATGGAGAATCCACCACATCCCGTGGTGAGCTGTTCCAATTGTTCACCGTTAACATGTGTTGCCTTATTACATTCACATTTAACAAATATTATTTTAAGATAATCTCATTATTTTTTTGCATGACTCTTATGGCTCAGTCCTACAATCCCTTATTCATATGAGTAGCCCTTACTCAGGTGAGTTAGTGTCATAGATTCCAGTAAAAAGCAACAGAGGGTCCTGTGGCACCTTTAAGACTAACAGAAGTTTTGGGAGCATAAGCTTTCGTGGGTAAGAACCTCACTTCTTCAGATTCCAGTGGAACTACTCGTGAGAGTGAGGGTTTGCCGTACTGGGTAGTATTTGTATAGTGTTTCATACAATTCATACAAATTGTAAGTCAGAAGGCTTTGTAGAGTAGAGTTACAGTGATAAATAATTGTAACAGGAGAGCGAAATGAGCAGGGGCAAGGGAGAGGAGAATTTGTCAAGTGAGATATGAATTCTAACCTGATCTGTCTACCTACATAACTCTGTGCCTCCCCATAACCAATGTAGCGTCTAAGCACCTCCCAAGGCTATTTAAAAACAGAAATAGCAATTAGAATCTCACTCTCTTCTTCCCAGCCTATAGGCAGGGGCATCATTTGCATGGAGCAAGGGGACAGTTCCCACTCCCAACCTTGGTTTGCCCCCCAACTTTTCATAGGTCTACATGCTCCACTCCCCCATGAATTTGCCTGATACAATAGAATCACACACAATGTTCTATCCAATGACATAATTCCTCCCCGACACCCATCCAGGAATTTTTCTGAAATGATGGCCTTATCTGTAGGACAAATAGCTGGAGGGGCTTAGACTATGGGTATTTTGCCCTGGCTCCTGAACTGAATGGGCAGCCTGATGGGATGTTTGGGGACAGAGGTGTTACAATCTAAGCATTCAAAGTCAGACCCCCCAAAATAATTTGATTTTAAAAATTATTACATTTGGGTTCTTTTTATTTGCACTTATAGGGAGTTACAATGTCAAGCTATTCTCTACAACGATGAGGGATAAAAATTTACTTTACAAATAAAAAATGATTCTCGAGAAAAACCACCAAGTATTACGAGCATTGCCAGCACTGGTACTGTTATGGTCCAGGAGCAACAGCAGCAAAACAGGTGTAGGATTGATGTGACTGTCTGTAAACGCTTACCAAGGCTTGTGGTGGACTCTCCACCACGGGACATTTTTAAATCAAGGTAGGATGTTTTTCTAATAGAGATACTTTAGTTGAATCAGGAATTAATTCAGGGAAGTCCTATGGCTTGTGTTATGCCGGAGGTCAGACAAGATGATTGTAACAGTCTGTTCTGGCTTTATAATTTATGAATCATCCAGTAGATGCTCGACTGACCACAGACCTGGTGTTGGAGAAATGACCCTCTATGGAAATAGAAACAGGTTTTTCCCTTTTAAATTTGCTTCCAAGCCCAACAGCATTATTTTGTCAGTTGCTTTAATGGGTACCCAAGGATTCCCCCAGTGCAAAGGAATCCATAGGTGGCATAGAGTTGAGATATCAAGTGCTACACACCTTTTTCCTGAGGAAGGGTGTGTGGCTGAAGGACTGTTGGCACAGCCACTTGGGGGCCCATTGAAGCTGGAAGCAACTCAGAGAAAACCTAAAGCATAAAAGGTGAGGGATGAATTCTGAAGCCAACATGTTCAACCCTTGGTGCTGTAATGGTAACTGGGCCTACAAATGTACCATAATTGTGAGTTCAACTGGGGGGAAGTGGAGACAAGTTCATAAAATGTCACAGTAACCTACAAAAATAATGCTGGTGGGAAAAGATGCAAAAGGGGGCCCGACTGAATTAGTCCAAACAAAAAGGCCTCCTGATATAACTCAAGGCCTGTGTTATAATCATGCCTTGTAAACAAGAGCAGTGCGGGTCCAGAAATTGATGAACCAAAATTGGGGTATTGGAAATTAGGCCTGTTGGTGGACAAAATAATGACGGAATGGGCTATTCCACCTATCACTTCCCTTTGGGATCCTTAAAAAAAGAGACTTTAGGAAGAAAATTGGCAAAGGCAGATGCTGGCTGATTGAGGGAAAGAACAGTAAAAGAGTTTCACCATCCTGGCTGCCACTGTCTGCTAGTCCCCCAGATCCACCGTGACACCATTGTGCTTTCATCATCCTGATCTTAAGAGATGTCCTGAGCAGACCGGGCCAGAGAGAGGGACCCAGATAACATCACCATCTCTACAGGCTCTGGTTAAATCCCTAACAACAGCTGGGATGTGAGACTATGTTGTCCACGCACCCTCCACCCCACCTGATGTACCTCGCCTCACGTGTACCCTGTTGCTTCCCCACCTCATTTCTTTTATTTTTTCCCCTATCCCTCTCCTTTTGCAGAAGAGTTTCATCAGAGTCTGGCTTAGCTGGCCAAAACTGCATCTTTGGCAACACTACTATAAGCCTGTGACCAGAAGGCAGCTCAAAGCAATGCCCCAAATAGCCTGTTACTGGTACAAGTTTGCCAGGTCTGAAAGTGGCTAATCAGACCATGTGCTGGCTGGACCTGTGTTTTTCCAGCAGTGAAATTACAAGTGAGAGTCAGCACCTGAGATAGAAGCTGCATTTTCTCTCATTGCTGTTCTTTTCTCTTCCCTTTGTGTGTGCTGTCCTGAACCTAAGGACAGCCCCTCTGACTCGGACTATTAGGCTATATCGCCCTGAGGGGAGGTGCGATCTGTTGGACTTGGCCTCAAGGCTACAACGCCCCCCACCCCGGGGTGATGGGGTGTACCTGTCCCATGACAACTGATGGAAAATGTGGACAATGACTGGGACCTGCTAAAATGCCCGAAGGAGGGAAGACCGACAACAGGACACCCCTTTTCTTTCATTGGTCAGTCGAGCTGGGCCGGGATGGAGACAGACAAGGTTCTAAAGTGGCTGCTGGAGAGTCAGCAACAGCAAGTGATGCAACAACACCAGCACCAGACCCAGCTGCCACAGCAGGCGACGTCACAGCAGCAGCAGGTGATGGAGAGCTGGTCGCCCAACACCAGACCCAGCAGGAGCACTTGATCCAGCAGATGGTGCCACACTACTGCGGCCGGGCGGATCACCCTTTCCCACTCCAGTGGGGTCAGAGGCCAGGAACACCTTGACTGGCCTCCCAGTGGGGCTTATGAAGATGGGGCCCATTGATGACATTCTTTGTGACATTCGAGTGGGTCGTCCGCCACCACCGCCTGGTGGTTGTCGGAGCGCTGGGCTACCCTTCTGGTGGAGCTGGTCCGGTCTGCTTACTGGAACCTAGACCCCCAGGAGGCCTTGGATTATGGGAAAGTGAAGACAGCCATCTTAGACCAGACTGGCATCAGTCCAGAGACATACTGCTGACGCTTCTGCTGGGAGTGATACCCACCCCGGTCCAGACCGAGGGCAGTAGCCCAGAGTCTCTGGGACTACTGTTGGCAATGGCTGGAACCGGAGAAGCAGACCAGAGTCCAAGTGGCTGAGATAGTGGCCCAAGAACAGTTTATCCAGATCCTCCCCAGTGGAGGGAAGAAATAGATACAGCGACACCAGGCAGTGACTCTTGCCAAGGCCGTCATGCTGATAGAGGATTAGTTGGCTGACAAAGGGTCAGAGCTGCGACCCTGTAAGCCAGAAGGCCCAGACAGACCAAACGGGACCCCAGCCAAGCTGGGAGATCCGTAATGACCATGTCTACCAAGTGATTAAAGACCCACAGACCAAGGAAGACTTCAGACAGTTGCTAGTTCCACAGAGGTTGTTGCGGGAACTCTTGCATCTAGCCCACTTGGTGCCCTGAGTGGAGCACCTGGGAAGGGAGAAGACCCTTCAGCGGCTGGCGTGAAGGTTCTTTTGGCTGGGTATACACCACAAAGTTAAGGACTACCATGCCTCCTGCTCTGAGTGCCAATGAGCTGGCCCAAAGGGAATACCAAAGACACCCCTAATCCCGCTCCCCATGGTCAGAGTAACAGTTGAACGCAATGACATGGACCTCGTGGGACCATTGGAGAAAAGCAGGGCAGGATATCGTTACCTCCTCATGGTTGTCAACTCTGTGACTCAGTATCCCGAGGTCGTCTCCTTACGTCCAGCCACATCGCCTCAGAGGTCATGAAGATCTTTGCCAGGGTTGGAATACCATGGGAAATAGTGACAGACTAGTGCACCAATGTGTCATTGTGGCTAATGGCCGAATTATGTTGCCTATTGAATATTCAGGCCCTCAGAACCTTGGTGTACCATGCCCAGATGGATGAAGGCAATGCTACGCAAATTCATGGGGGACGACCCGTGACACTAGGGCACACTGTTACCAGCCTTGTTGTTAGCAATGCGGGAAGTCCCCCAAGCATCCACAGGCTTCTCCCGCTTCAAGTTTCTCAATGGGAGGCATCCCAGGGGCATCCTTGACCTCCTAAGAGAGAACTGGGAGGAACAAGAAACCCAGGTTATGGGGTCAGCCCACTTACATATTACAACTGCACAAATGGCTCCGAACGCGTTGGACCTTCGCCCAGGAGAACCTACTTCAGACGCAATGTACACAAGAGCGGCAATACAACAGAGGGGCCGAGATACGTAACTTCGAGCGTGAAGACCAGGTCTTACTCTTGTTACCCTCCATGGAGTCCAAACTACTAGCTAAGTGGTAGGGTCCCTTTGAGGTGGCATGGCAGATAGGGCCCGTGGATTATGTAATCTGGTTGCCCAGGTAGCGAAAGGAGGTATGAACATATCATGTGAACCTCCTGAAAGCCTGGAAGGCCAATGAAGGCCTCCTGATTGCCCTTTGCCCTCTGAAACCAGAATTGGGGCCTCTAGTCAAGGGACATCTGGATACGAGTGTGACACTGCACCCCATATTCTTCACAGTGATATTATTATGATAGGTTTATGGCATAATTATGATGCATTTTGTACAAGGTAAGTCATGTTAGGTGTCATTGGAAAAGTTATGATTTGCTGGATATGATTATCCTATTTGTGTGCATGTATCATTTTTGTATCTGAACTTATGAATATTGACTATGTATCTGCATTTCAAATGTAGTTACACCTGGTAACGCCCACCAGACAAGATGCTTTCAGTCTAGATAGTGGGTGGGGAAGGGCCTATTCAGGGCAATGGCCATTAGAAAAAAAACAATAGGCCTTAGGAGAAGCTCATCTCCCACCTGGGGAGACTTCCTGTGAACGCTACAGACAGCCTGTGAGTGAAGCTGCTATGACTCTACAAGGACATGTGACCAGGCCACCTGATGCTGGACTTCATCTTGGGATGTCAGTATTTTTCCACAGACTGGTCTGGGAACCAAGCTTGGAAACAAAGGGTTCCTGCCATATGCAAAAGCTACATAAGGCAGGGAGTGACATCATCTGTGGTTCTTCACTCCCCACCCAAGAAGACTCCGGGAAACACCTGAGGAACAAAGACTGACCTGGGGGAAGTGCTGGACCCAGGCTAAAGGGATTTCTAGCCTGTGAATGAAGCACCTAGGGATTCCAAGCTGTAAAGCAAGTGCAGCTCGCCCCTTAAGGAGCTGCAGCTTGTTTGTATCATTTCTAAGAGTGAGAATCTGCTAATTCAGTGGCTCTCAAACTTTTTTACTGATGACCCCTTTCACATAGCAAGTCTCTGAGTGCGACCCCCCTTATCAATGAAAACACTTTTTAATATATTTAACACCATTATAAATGCTGGAGGCAAAGCGGGGCTTGGGGTGGAGGTTGACAGCTCGTGACCCCCCAAGTAATAACCTTGCGACCCCCTGAGGGGTCCCAACCCCCAGTGTGAGAACCCCTGTGCTAATTCATATCCAATCTAGCTAGTATATTAAGCTTAGTTGGCATTTTTTGTTTATTTGCTAGGTAATCTGCTTTGATCTGTTTGCTATCACTTATAATCACTTAAATCTATCTTTTGTAGTTAATAAACGTGTTTTGTTTTAATCTAAACCAGTGATCTTTGACTGGAGTGCTTGTGGAAAATCCCTGCTTGGTTACCACAAGTGTGCATTGTCCTCTTCACATTGAGGGAGAGGCGGACCAGGTGTTAAACCCATATACTGGCCACATTTGACCAGGGCAGGACGTACTGCTCTGGGGCCTAGGCTGGGAGGCTGGTGGTTAGAGAGCCTGCATGTGACTGCAGCTGGGTGTGTCCCTACCTGTGTGAATGCTGGTGAAAGTGCAGGCTGGAGGGCTTTGCAACTTGTCACAGCAGCACAGTGTGAGAAGGAGCCCAGGCTGGGGGGGTCAGGGGGCTCAGTGGTATCCCAGTTCCAGGTGGCACCCCAGGGGGAACCGGTCACAACAAAGCCCATGACAATTGGCCAAGAGCTCACCCCCAAGCAGCAGGAACAGCTACGTGGCTAGTGCAGGCCTTCTCAGAGGTCGTGTTGTCCCACCCAGGGTGGACAAATGTAATGAGCCACCACATCACCAGGTCAGATATGCAACCACCACTGGCCCCTCTCTAAGAAGATATGGAGAGCCATCCAGAAAGAGCTAGAGATGATCCTGGGGGTTGTGGAGGAATCACTGAGTGAGTGGCAGAGCTCAATAGTCTTTGTTCCTAAATCAGACGGGACCATCCAATTTGCATTGACTTCTGGAAAGTCAACGCTATTTTCCAATTTAACACCTACCCGATGGCCCTGCCCAACCGTTCCAGGAGCTCTTCTACCTGGGACAAGTTCCTCTCCACCCTAGATTTGACCAAAGGGTATTGGCAAATACCGCTGAGGCGAAACTCGTGGGCAAAGACAGCCTTCCCTAGGCCATTTGGCCTGTTCCAATTCATGATAATACTGTTCGGGCTGCATGGGGCAGCTGCCACATTCCAGTGGCTGATGAACTAGATACTGCAGCCACATGATCAGTATGCTGCGGCCTAAATCAACAATATTGTGATCTACAGTGCCAGCTGGAAAGACCACCTCACCAACGTGCTGCAAGCCCTCAAGGAAGCCCTCAACTGTCACTTTGGGCAAAGGGAGGTGACCTACTTGGGGTACACAGTGGAGGAGGAAAGTTACAGCCCTTGGCAGATAAAGTACCTGGTGGTGTGGGCCCTGTTTACGGGTCCTAGACACTATTTGACCCTTCTCCTCTCTCCATGGTATAATAAAAGAGCTAATTTAGATTCAGTTGAGAGTCTTGTTACGTGCTGCAGAGCTGAAATCACTGATACCTCGGTCTAAGTATTAGACCTACTTTGGGATAGCGCCTCTATTGCAAGAGACTGCCCCGTGTGCGCCAGCAGTGAGGCTCCCCCACTAACAGCTGAAATCACTGAAGGCTGTGTTAAGTGGGGGACCCTGAAGATATCTTGGCAAGTGGCTAGCAGGGAGGCTGGTGGAGAGGGCCAGAGCAGAGCCCCGCAGAGTGGCGCAGCAATCGGCCATTGGGGCGACGAGCGAGTGGCCGAGCAGCAGAGCGTGTAAGGTGCTTCCTTACCCCCTTCCACCCAGGGTGGGAGGTGAACTCTGTGGATGAACCTCTGAACTCTGGGGCTGCACTGGCCAAGGACAGCAACGGTGAGTAGGGTACAAAGTAGGGATGGGCGAGTTAAAGGGACTTTTGGGTTGCTGGACTTAAGAACTTGAGGGGAAAAGGACACTGCCCAACTTACTTAGGGGTGGGTCTTTTGCTCCTGGTTTATGTTTATGAACCCTAGTTGCAGTGTTTTCCCAAATTAATGTTGTTACTTCCCTCCTTTTATTAAAAGTTTTTGCTACACTCAGACTCTGTGCTTGCGAGAGGGGAAGTATTGATTTGGGGATCTGTCTGAATTAGCAACAATTATACAAGTAGAGGACAATTATATGAATTAGAAGAAATTTGGACCCAGTTTCTTGATAGATTTGTATAAAATATGATGAGACAGCGCAAATAATGCCAGACTTCCATTCCACATGTCCTCTCTGATTTTTCACTCCTTCCCCCATCACCTCTTCCCCTTTTTGCCTATTTGATTTTGTCGTCTTTTTCTTAATTGTTCCCCCCTCCCTAGCATGAAGTGTCTGAACTCTGGTCTGATTTTTGTATTGGCTGGTCTTGCAGCTTTGACAAGTTGTAAAGTTGCGTAATTACAGAATTTCATTGGCTAGGCTGTGAATATTTAACATATTCATAAACGATCTGGAAAAAGGGGTAAACAGTGAGGTGACAAAATTTGCAGATGATACAAAACTGCTCAAGATAGTTAAGTCCCAGGCAGACTGCGAAGAGCTACAAAAGGATCTCATGAAACTGGGTGACTGGGCAACAAAATGGCAGATGAAATTTAATGTTGATAAATGCAAAGTAATGAACATTGGAAAACATAATCTTAACTGTACATATACAATGATGGGGTCTACATTACCTGTTACCACTCAAGAAAGATCTTGGAGTCATTGTGAATAGTTCTCTGAAATCATCCATTCAATGTGCAGCGGCAGTCAAAAAAGCGAACAGAATGTTGGGAATCATCAAGAAAGTGATAGATAATAAGACAGAAAATATCATATTGCCTCTATATAAATCCATGGTACGCCCACATCTTGAATACTGCGTGCAGATGTGGTCACCCCATCTCAAAAAAGATATATTAGAATTGGAAAAGGTTCAGAAAAGGGCAATAAAAATGATTAGGGGTATGGAATGGCTTCCGTATGAGGAGAGATTAATAAGACTGGGACTTTTCAGCTTGGAAAAGAGGCGACTAAGGGGGGATATGATAGAGGTCTATAAAATCATGATTGGTATAGAGAAAGTAAATAAGGAAGTGTTATTTACTCCTTCTCATAATACAAGAACAAGGGGCCACCAAATGAAATTAATAGGTAGCAGGTTTAAAACAAACACAAGAAAGTATTTTTGCATGCAATGCACTGTCAACCTCTGGAACTCCTTGCCAGAGGGTGTTGTGAAGGCCAATACTATAACGGGGTTCAAAAGGGAGCTAGATAGATTCATAGAAGATAGGTCCATCAATGGCTATTAGCCAGGATGGGCAGGAATGGTGTCCCTAGCCTCTGTTTGCCAGAGGCTGGGAA